CAAAATCGAGTTTTTGCCCGGACACTGCCTTTAAAAGCAGTGGACGCAAAAATGGCCCTAGTAAAATTTTGGTAGCATTAGGTAGTAGACCCCATGTACACCATAGCCCCATCCCACCCTCCATGTCCTGATTCCTGTAAATGCGCTTCAAAACTCCACCAATGACGCCCAATCAAGGGCGGGGCTCGTGGAGTTTTGAAGCGAGAACTCAGGACTCAGCGCATGAATTGGAGAGTGGGTGTGTGGTGCAACATCGTATGTGGGAGTTTACTACTTAATACCAAAATCTGCCTAGGTCCATTTTGCCGACTTTTAAGCTTTTCAAGGTCCAAAAGAGAAAAAGCTGATGATCACTAAAGGAATCCAAATTAAATCAGTGCTGAAAACTGCTACTATTCTTACTACCATTAACACTGTCATCACTGATTACTATGAATTTTTTCAAAAACAATTTGGAATAAGAAATGCGTATGATGAGGAAAAATTGTCACCTTTACAGACCGCAAGCAACTGTTCCTTGCTCCAAAACTTGTCACTCAGCAATAACTGAACATAGTGTTGAGAAAGTGTATACGGTTGTGAGTGAGCGAAATTCTCCAGCGCTCGTTTTATAGCATCAAAGAGAACTTCATAACGCAGTGGATCTGACGAAAAAGAGATGTTTAACCGACCTCAAATCGAATCTGGTCTAACTCACCGGGTTTGAAAGTCGTCAGTCGCTTCACTAAGTGCTCCACAAACAACGGCTGCTTTTCATCGTACCCACTTACCTGTCAAATTAATCGCGATTTTAAGCAAAAAGGCAAAAACTGATATTACTTTCAGATTTAATCCGTAAGTGCTAAGTTCAAGTTGGAACTTTAGACCAGCCAATTCAGCGTTGTATGTTTCCTCAGCCAAAGCATCCTAAAATACACATTTTGCGACTTTCAACATAGTTGCTCATTCCTTTGATTGCTAGAAAGAAAAAAAGGAAAGAAGTAAAAGCACGATTTAGTGGCCAAGGAAATGGACCTACATTCAGACACCAAAGATACATCGAAGACAGCATAGTTGCAAGAGGATCTGCGCCTATTACCGGCGCAGTAACAGCCACCTGGAAATCATCATATATGCGGTAAGAAGAAGGCCGCTGTAAAACTTACCCATGTAACCATTTTCGGGAGCTTGTACTCATCATCCTGCTTGAACCATACACGAGACCATACGTCGTCATGGATCATGCGCGGGTGCTCACTAAAGACAAAAACAAAATTTCAACAGAAAAAATCTTGGTTAGTTACCTCTTCAAATCCTCCCTAGGCTTCTGCTCAAAGTTCGTGGGTATGTATTCATTCTTGCTAGGCATATGCAGAGCAGGGTGTGGCGTATTTAACGCCTCACTAAAACGTTCCATTGTGCTCTGCAAGAAAAAAGGAAATGGCATTTCTGGGAAAGAGGTCTAATTTGAAACAACCTCATCGATGTCTATTACACGCATTTCT